GTGTCTTTCGCCAAAAGAGAGACATTTTCTATAGAAAATTTGTCTCTTTCGCCAAAAGAGAGACAGACATTTTCTATATAAAATTTGTCTCTTTCGCCAAAAGTGAGTTATTTTCTATAGAACATTTGGCTCTTTCGTCAAAAGAGAGACATTTTCTATAGAAAATTTGTCTCTTTCGTCAAAAGACAGATATTTTCTATAGAAATTTGTTCTCTTTCGTCAAAAGAGAGTTATTTTCTATAGAAATTTGGTACCTTTCGTAAAAAAAATTTGTCTCTTTCGCCAAAAGTGAGACATTTTCTATAGAAAATTTGTCTCTTTCGCCAAAAGTGAGTTATTTTCTATAGAAAACTTGTCTCTTTTTCCAAAAGAGAGTTAATTTCTATAGAACATTTGGCTCTTTCGTCAAAAGAGAGATATTTTCTACAGAAATTTGGTCTCTTTCGTCAAAAGACAGATATTTTCTATAGAAATTTTTTCTCTTTCGGTATCTTTCGTAAAAAGAGAGACATTTTCTATAGAAAATTTGTCTCTTTCGCCAAAAAGTGAGACATTTTCTATAAAAAATTTGTCTCTTTCGTCAAAAGAGAGACAGTTTATTTCTTTTCTATAGAACATTTGATAATTTTTTCTACAAAAAAAAAAAAAAAACTAAAATATTTTGCTTTCTTACCATCATTCGCATAGGATGCCTCTAATAACTCCTGATAAAAACTAGAATTTGTCTGTTTTATAGGGGAATTTGTTGTAGGTGTTGTTGAAGGGGACGTTCCACTGGCTGAAGCTGAAGAAGAAGAAGATGATGGCAATGCTGCTGAATCGGCAGTGCTGTTAGTTTTATTATATTGTTTTTCCGGCGTATGAGATTGTTTCGAAGTACTTGGTAATTGCTGTTCATAATCCGGAGTTAATGGACGTTTTTCTGCACATGCATTTAAGTCAGCGACATAATCACGTTTGGGACTTTTGCGCAGAGAAGCAGTATCATCTCTAAAATTGTTAAAAAAGAAAAAAAGTTAAAAATAAAGAAATTTTAAATGACAAAATAAAATATGACTCACTGTTGATTACTTTGCAAATCACGACGTCTTTTTTTATTAATCAGCTTTTTTGAGGGATTACGTGTTTTAGATTTTTTACTTCTGGCGACAGAGGAAGGTGATGTAGAGCCACCTATAGAACTAGTACTACTCATATCGGTATCATCACTATCGAAACCTAAATCCTCACCGGGTTTTAGGTGGGCTAATGAAGTGAAATGTTTGGGTGAGTGGGAAACATATTGATGTTGATCGAGATTATTTAAAGTTGTGCTGTTATTACTATTGCTATTTGTTGTTGTTGTAGAGGAACTTGCTGAGCTAGTTATAGTGCTATTACTACTACTATTGCTATTTAATATGTTATTGGAATTTAAGCGTTGTATAGCGTATTTAGAGGGTGAAGCCTCTGCATCAGAAGCCGCTTCACCCGAGGTTATTGTGGCTGATGTTGAGGCTGCCGCTGAGGTAGATGTGGCATTACGATTTTTCTGCAAATTATCTCTACACCATTGTAAATATGATTCTCTTGCTATTTGCTCTTCAATGGCCTCATTTGTCGCCTCCCAATCTGTGGTCTTTAGTTTATCCTCAAACATAGTTTGTTCTATTTCATCTTGTTCACTCATACGTACGGCCTCTTTTGTTTGTAGTTCTGGTTTATAACCAGCTAAACCTAGACCTACACCCACAGTGGCATTATAGGGATCTATAATGGCATTATAGTGTGTGCCTCTCTGATAGGATAAACGTAAGGGAGCATAACCATTATTCGATTGTTCCGAATTGAATATATTAATGGGAGCTGTAAGCAATCATTTTAGAAAATTAAAGTTTAAATGGTAAAAAATTTAATTTACTTACTGGGCTTATAACAATAGACCTCAACAGGACGACTATAAATTTCAGACATAGCTTGGATTTCAATATGATTACCATGGGAATCTTTACGACGTTTTCGTTTAATGTAACTGTTAATATCTTCAGTTACAAAATGACTAAAATATTCACGATTTTTAAACTGAAATAAAGAAAAGAGAAAATTTGTAATATTTTGTATAGAAAATTTTGCTCTTTTACAAAAAAAAAAAAAAAGACTTTTTCTATAGAAAATGTGTATCCTTCACACAAACACTAACCTTTTCAAAGGAAAATTTGTATATTTTTCCATAAGAGATACAGTTTCGATAGAAAATTTGTCTCTTTCTCCAAAGGGGAGAAAATTTATCTCTTTTACCAAAAGAGATCTCTTTCGCCATAAGAGATTTTCTATAGAAAATTTGTCTCTTTCCACAGAAGAGTAATCTTCTATAGAAAACTTGTCTCTTTCGTCAAAAGAGAGTAATTTTCTTTAGAAAAGTTTGATTTTTTTATAAAAAGCCAGAAATTTGTTTACTTACAATATAGTCCATGGTATGTTGTCTAATGACATCATGCATTTCCTCATCCCCATAAATTTGCAATGAAATGGAACGAAACAAACAGGCACCATCCTCCTCCACAGGTTTCAAAATATAACCACGATCAGCCATACATTTGGCAAATTGTTCATCTTTCTTTTGCCATTCATCGGCCGTAGTTAAATCCTCCTTAGGCTGTAAATGTTCATCACCAGAATTGTAACCCGAAAATGTATCCTCTATAGCTTTAAGCAAACCGCTAGCTGCCTGAGCCACAGAACCCGGCTGAGTTTGGGGTGTCTGGGAGGTTTTAAGTAAATGATCAGGAGACTTATTGCCTAACGAAGAGCCATGAGTTACCGCTACATTAGGATTGACGACACCTGAACCCACCGACGCAGCTGTAGCCGAGTGAGGGCTATTGCATTTAATGTTTGCCACACTAATGCCAACATTGCCATGTTTGTCATTAAGGGCGGCAGCTACACGCTCCCTTTTGTGGTGCAATTGTGAGGGATCATTATGATGATCACGCCTTTTATTGCGTGAAGTCTTATGGGGACTACGTCTATGTCTGGCCAATTCATCATAGACATCCACCCTACGCTGGGGACTCTAGAAATGTTGAAAAAAGAAAATAAATTGGATAAATAAACGTGTCCTCTAGTAATGAAAGCATACCTGACCGTGAGCATCTATTACCACATTACGATGTTGATTTAAGGCATTCGTTGCTGCGTCTCCCACATTGGCCACTTGGTGTGACTCCTTCTTATCCGACTCATTCGCTGAGGTGCCAGACCTCTTGGGTGTTGGTGCTATAACAGGTTTTATAGTCATTCCAAGAAGCTAACAAGTTCTATTTCAACTTATGACGCAAATCTGAAAATATTTCGTCGTTGTTTTTCAGCTTTTTTCTATCTATCTCTCTAGTCTTTTACTCTATAAATGTCTTCTTTTGTGTTCCGTGATTTTTTTCGTTTTTATTTTTATTTCTATTATGGGTTTTTTGTATGTTTGCCTTCTTAGCTGCTGCTTCTTCCACCTTTTTTCTGATTATTTATATTTTTCTCTATATTTGTGTCTTTGTCTTCTTTTATTATAGTTTTTTTTTCTCCTTTTGTATGTTAAAAAAGAGGAAGGGGAAATTGGGGTTTTTCCTTTAAAATTTTTTCGAAGGCAAATATTTGTCTTTAATCTTTTTCAAAAACTTTGAAATTTATTTGTTCTTTATAATATAATAATTAAATTTTACTTTAGTTGCAATTTTAAAATGTTTTAAACGGGTTTTATAAAGGAAATTTCACTTTTTTCAAGAGCAATTCACTTTTTTGTGGTGACTTCCATCAGAATTCTGTTTTTGTTCACACGCACAGATGTTTTTCGTATGAGTGTGTGTCAGTTTGTTGTTTTTTGCAAGCAGCGTTGTTTAAATACGTAGTATTTTGTGTAAACATATGGTGGAGGTGTTACATTTTTGACACATAGATGGCAGCACCTTAAATGAGTTGTATTATGGAGTAGTAGTAGGAAAATGGTTGTAAAAAGTAAATTTAGAAGAAGTCTGATATTTAGAGGGTTTAAAACGGATAAGGAAATGGCTTTTAATATTTTAAAAAAGCCAATTTATGGAGAAAGAATTGCTAAAGAGGTTGGTGTAAATAAATTTCTTATAATAATGAAAAAAGTTGCAGAATTATTAAATTATAAAACTTCTAGTTTACAATTAGTATTAATCAACTTCGATTGACTAGAAATTAATTAATTATGGGACGATTTTGCTTTTTCCACAATTTATATTCTTCGTAGGCTAGTCTATAGCCTATAGTCTACTCTATAGTCTAGTCTACAGTCTAGTCAATATCTAATATTCTAAAGTCTAGTCTATAGTCTAGTCCATATTCTAGTCTATTGTCTATAGTCTAGTATATAGTACAGTCTATAATCTATTCTACTGTCTAGTCTAGTATTTAGTTTAGTATATAGTCTAGTCTATAGTCTAGTATAGAGTCTAGTCTATAGTTTCATAACATCTCTTTTAAATGGTATAAGTACTAAATAAAACAACTATTTTTTAATGAAAAATATGCATGTCTTAATTGTTATTTTTATTTTTTTCTTCTTTTATTAATTGTATAATAAAATACTTAAAATCTATTACTTTACATTAATTTATTAATAAATTTACAATACAATTTGTCGGTTTTTTTACTTTTATTATATATAAAAAACACATACAATTTCTTTTTATTGTTTTTTTTTTTTCAAGAATTATTGGTTAAATAAATTTTGTTTATTATATCTACAATAAAAAAATAGATTTGTTTTTATTTTTTTAATAAAAAATCTATGATTTATAATACAAATACACATATATTTTATATAATTATATATAATAATTGAGACTATTTGCAAAAATTATTTAAAAAACATAAAATTTATTTACAAAATTAACAAAAAACTTGACAGTTTTTGTAAAAATAGTACAAAAGAATGCTACCATGTTAGAATAAATGAAAAAGTACAATATATGACAACTATGTTGTGGGAAAAAAGATAAACAAACCAAAAGTAACGGTACTTTGTAGAAAAATGTGAAAAGTCATTTAGTTGTGAAAAGAAATAAAGAAAATTTTAATTTTTAAAGTAAAACATACAAATTAAATAGCGAAAGTGTTAAATAAATGTTGTTTATGAAGATTAAAGTGTTTTTAAGATAAATTATAATAAAGTTAAGAGTGTGCAAAAGCTTTTAATGGAAAAAAATAGTAAACAAAATTGTGTTGTAAGAAGAAAGTTTTTGATAAGAATGGAAATTATGAAAAATGTAAAAAAATTGTGTTAATTTGTTAATAAATAATGACAACAACAACAAAAATGTGTAACTAGCTAACTTTACAAAATTCTTGCTGTGTGCCACCAGGTGGGGGCTAATTAGGCAGTTGCATTTGTTGCTGGGTCTGCTGCTGCTGGGGATTCTGTTGCTGGGTGATAACCACATGTTGCTGTTGTAGTTGTTGGCTCTGCAATTGTTGTTGTACTTGCTGCTGTTGTTGTTGTTGTACTTGTTGTTGCTGCACTTGTGTGGTTTGCTGGGTTTGTGTTTGAGGCTGTTGCTGCTGTTGTTGTTGTTGCTGCTGCTGAACTTGCTGTAAAGTGGCTTGCACCACGGCCAAGGCTCCTGCCACTGGCTGCAGCATACTAGTACCATTTTCACTTTCATTCTGCATACTTAACTCAGCCTTAACTCTACGTGCTATATGGGATCTGGTGTGTTTTCTCAAATGATCTTTACGATAGAAACCTTTGCCACATTCCTGACATATATGACGCTTCTCGCCGGAATGTATGACAAAATGCAGACTTAATTGTTCTTTTCTTTTGAAAGCCTTCAAGCAAACCGTACATATAAAAGGTCTTTCGGGATTGTGGGACTGTTTGTGACGCGTCAGATGATCTTTTCTTTTAAGTGTTGCTTGGCATATATCGCAGATGTATCTCCTTTCAGAATTATGACCTATTAAATGGATTTCTAGCAATTCAGGTTCGGGATAAGCCACTTGGCATTCGGGACACATGTACAAAGGACTACCATCTAAAGCGGTGGTTAAACGTATTTCGCCGGGTCTGGGTTTAGGTTTTCGTTCCTTAACACGCTTTTTTCGTTTTTTACGTTTAGGGGTAGTGGTAGTGGCTGCCGCGCTAGTACTGGGCTCTATAGGTGTAGCCTGCTGTTGGGTAGTCTGTAAAGTGGCAGCTAAAACACTTGTTGTAGGTTGGGTTTGTAACAAGGGCAAAGTGGCGGTGGCTGTGTTTTGTTGTTGTTGCTGCTGTTGTTGTTGTTGCTGCTGCTGTTGTTCTTGTATTGTAGCCGTTACTTGCTGCAATTGCTGCTGAGGTATTGTGATTGTGGTAGAGCCGCCCAAGGTGTTTAAACCCAATGGTGGTCCCGTTTGTACCTGTAAAACCTGTTGAGGCAAATAAATGAAATGTCATAGATTTGTTTCTTTTTACGTTAGTTTTGAACATAAATTATCTACCTATCTCTGTTTGCCTATTATACTTACTACATTTTGGTTTTCCTTTTTAATATTCTCTGCTGAATATTTTAAAAAATGATGTAATGATAGTGGCAATGTATTAGCCGGAAGATGTGATAGATAATCTGCAACCGTAGTACCAGGGGTTAATGATTGCCATGAGGTATTTTGTAACACTATTGAGAGGAAGTAAGAAAATTTTGAAAATTTAATACAACAGTTCTTTAAGTCTTAAAGTAAAAGTGAAATATGTAATTAAAATAGCCTCCACCTGGTTGTAACTAAACTATTTATAACTAAATTGAACTATAACTAAATTGAACTGACATTCTGGGTCATAAAGCTGCTGGAGCAATTACAAATCGACATCATCTTGTTAAGGTGAGTACAATACTTTGTTATTTTTTCAAATTTGCAGCTTTAAGATCAATGTTACTCTTAAAATATTAATTTTAACTTGATATAAAATGATTTGAATCTCGAGATATCAGGGGTCTTCATACTTTTTCGGAATTTGGATCATATTTTCTTTATACATATGTATGTAGGGAACTTCTCGATTATACATGAGTTGAATCTGGAAGATATCTGGGCCTTCAATAAACAAACATACTAATCTATAAGAATTCAGATTTCATAGTTTCTCTATACTATTTCTCTAACGCTTCCCTTAATAGTTTATCCCTTCAAATGAACATCTTATACGAAAATAGACTATAGACTAGACTATAGACTAGACTATAGACTAGACTATAGACTAGACTAGACTATAGACTAGACTATAGACTAGACTATAGACTAGACTATAGACTAGACTATAGACTAGACTATAGACTAGACTATAGACTAGACTATAGACTAGACTATAGACTAGACTATAGACTAGACTATAGACTAGACTAGACTAGACTATAGACTAGACTATAGACTAGACTATAGACTAGACTATAGACTAGACTATAGACTAGACTATAGACTAGACTATAGACTAGACTAGGACTAGACTATAGACTAGACTATAGACTAGACTATAGACTAGACTATAGACTAGACTATAGACTAGACTATAGAATAGACTATAGAATAGACTATAGACTAGACTATAGACTAGGCTATAGACTAGACTATAGACTAGACTATAGACTAGACTATAGACTAGACTATAGACTAGACTATAGACTAGACTATAGACTAGACTATAGACTAGACTAGACTATAGACTAGACTATAGACTAGACTATAGACTAGACTATAGACTAGACTATAGACTAGACTATAGACTAGACTATAGACTAGACTATAGACTAGACTATAGACTAGACTATAGACTAGACTATAGACTAGACTATAGACTAGACTATAGACTAGACTATAGACTAGACTATAGACTAGACTATAGACTAGACTATAGACTAGACTATAGACTAGACTATAGACTAGACTATAGACTAGACTATAGACTAGACTATAGACTAGACTATAGACTAGACTATAGACTAGACTATAGACTAGACTATAGACTAGACTATAGACTAGACTATAGACTAGACTATAGACTAGACTATAGACTAGACTATAGACTAGACTATAGACTAGACTATAGACTAGACTATAGACTAGACTATAGACTAGACTATAGACTAGACTATAGACTAGACTATAGACTAGACTATGACTATAGACTAGACTATAGACTAGACTATAGACTAGACTATAGACTAGACTATAGACTAGACTATAGACTAGACTATAGACTAGACTATAGACTAGACTATAGACTAGACTATAGACTAGACTATAGACTAGACTATAGACTAGACTATAGACTAGACTATAGACTAGACTATAGACTAGACTATAGACTAGACTATAGACTACACTATAGACTAGACTATAGACTAGACTATAGACTAGACTATAGACTAGACTATAGACTTGACTATAGACTAGACTATAGACTAGACTATAGACTAGACTATAGATTAGACTATAGACTGGACTATACAATAGACTATAGAATGAACTATGGACTATAGACTAGACTATTATGTAAACTACTGATCAAAAGTTTATAAGTTAGAAAAAGTATCGAATAAGTCGTGGGTGTACCGCGGTATCAAAAAGTACTGAAAAAAGTACTAAAGTCCTGAGTTTTCAATGCCTGCAATTTACTTTTGCCCGTTCAGTTTTATTCTTTTAAAATAAATACATAGCTAATGTAGGGTGTCATAAAGTCGGCCATGCCAGACTATTCTTTTCTACTTGTGTTAATTTTTTTTCGGATACAAACTTTTGAGTTGTTCTTAAAAAATAAATTAAAATTTAATACTGACCTAGTATGTTTTCATCCCATTTTTACCCATATACTCCTATGGCTGTCTGCCTTCTAAGACCCCGCCCACTTAAGCTATTCTAACTCACCACGTTTTGAATCCACACCTTGTTGTTGCAATATGGCATTGCATAAATCCTGAGTTAACTCCTGAGGTGCTGCTAGCTGTGTCTGCAATTGCTGCGTCGATGTTGAGGGCTGTAATTGAGCTTGTTGTAAACCTAAGGCAGTAGCAGCCGCTGCTGCTGAGGTGGAAGCTGTTATGGTATTTTGAGGATAAGCTATGGCGGCTTGTACTAAACGTTTATCTTCAGTTTGTTGATTGTAGGCGGGTATAGTAGTATACTGTGTAGTTTGTTGTTGTTGTTGCTGCTGCTGTTGTTGCTGGGCTTGCTGTTGATTGCCCACACCAGCAGCTGCTAACGCAACCATATGACCATTGTATTTATCACCTTGAGAATCATCGTTGTTGGTGCGAAATTTGGCGGGCAAAGCGGTAACAGCAGTAGCGGTGGCAACTTGTATGGCAGGTTGATTGAAATGGGTCATACTAATGGTAGAGGTACTAGGTTGTTGTTGCTGCTGCTGTTGCTGGTAACGATTGCCCGCTATTGTTACAGTATCTTGTTGCTGTTGCTGCTGCTGCTGTTGTTGTTGCTGCTGCTGTTGTTGCAGTGTGGTAGTTGCTGTTACCGTGGCCACCGCCGAAGCCGATGTTACTGTCGATACCAAAGGTGTTGTGGTGGCAGTAAACTGGGCTATACCCGGTATAGAACCGGGAAATGGATTACCAAATGGTGTAAAATTCATTTTCTCTCCTTAAGGATTTTCGTATTAAAATTAGTAAAGTTTTTCTTACGTATAATTAAATTGTTATGTATAAGAGTTTTAAAAAAATATTTTGTAAATTTCTGCAAAGAAATTAAAAAAGAAAATTTCAAGAAAAACTTATTACTTTTTAGGCAAATATTATGTTTGTTTGTATAAACTTAAAACTAAAATTACTTTTTTCCTATTTAAAAATAAAATCCCGGCATTTATAAACATAAACAGAGAGCCCGATTTTTGTTTCTGTTGTTATTGTTACGTGTCTATCTACGTACATACATATTACATCTTAAATTTTCTCCCAACTTTCCATATACAAAGTTTTCCCATACATTATTATTACTGTGTTGCGTTATTCAACTCCCTTAAGGCTGTTTATGCTGCCACACAGAATACGAGCACAATACAAATTACTCGTACATACACTTTATATGTATGGTAAATAAAAAGTGAAATTCCGTTTGTGATGAGAAATTGGCTACCAAAAAATAAAGTACGAAATAATGGCAACAACAAAAATATATACCATATATAGATATATCGGAATCACACAATATACTATAATTTAAATAAAAACTTTTACTCAGAATTTAGCTGTTAACGTAGTAGTAGTAGAGAGAAATAATTTATTGTTAGAGTAGAAAACATAAACTGAGAGAATGTGCTTTTAAGCGGGAGAGTTTTGTAAAGAGAGTTAAAACGAGAGAATGTTGCCATTTTAGAAAAAGGTTACAATTATTACGTTATGTTCTCCAAAACATCTATTTCGGAAACTTGGAGTTTTGTTCAGTTCTAGTTCAGTTCCAGTTCAGTTCTAGTTCAGTTCTAGTTCAGTTCTAGTTCAGTTCTAGTTCAGTTCTAGTTCAGTTCTAGTTCAGTTCTAGTTCAGTACTAGTTCAATTCTAGTTCAGTTCTAGTTTAGTTCTAGTTCAGTTCTAGTTCAGTTCTATTTCAGTTCTAGTTCAGTTCTAGTTAGTTCTAGTTCTAGTTCAGTTCTAGTTCAGTTCTAGTTCAGTTCTAGTTCAGTTCTAGTTCAGTTCTAGTTCAGTTCTAGTTCAGTTCTAGTTCAGTTCTAGTTCAGTTCTAGTTCAGTTCTAGTTCAGTTCTAGTTCAGTTCTAGTTCAGTTCTAGTTCAGTTCTAGTTCAGTTCTAGTTCAGTTCTAGTTCAGTTCTAGTTCAGTTCTAGTTCAGTTCTAGTTCAGTTCTAGTTCAGTTCTAGTTCAGTTCTAGTTCAGTTCTAGTTCAGTTCTAGTTCAGTTCTAGTTCAGTTCTAGTTCAGTTCTAGTTCAGTTCTAGTTCAGTTCTAGTTCAGTTCTAGTTCAGTTCTAGTTCAGTTCTAGTTCAGTTCTAGTTCAGTTCTAGTTCAGTTCTAGTTCAGTTCTAGTTCAGTTCTAGTTCAGTTCTAGTTCAGTTCTAGTTCAGTTCTAGTTCAGTTCTAGTTCAGTTCTAGTTCAGTTCTAGTTCAGTTCTAGTTCTAGTTCTAGTTCAGTTCTAGTCAGTTCTAGTTCAAGTCTTAGTTCAGTTCTAGTTCAGTTCTAGTTCAGTTCTAGTTCAGTTCTAGTTCAGTTAGTTCAGTCTAGTTCAGTTCTAGTTCAGTTCTAGTTCAGTTCTAGTTTCAGTTCTAGTTCAGTTCTAGTTCAGTTCTAGTTCAGTTCTAGTTCAGTTCTAGTTCAGTTCTAGTCAGTTCTAGTTCAGTTCTAGTTCAGTTCTAGTTCAGTTCTAGTTCAGTTCTAGTTCAGTTCTAGTTCAGTTCTAGTTCAGTTCTAGTTCAGTTCTAGTTCAGTTCTAGTTCAGTTCTAGTTCAGTTCTAGTTCAGTTCTAGTTCAGTTCTAGTCAGTTCTAGTTCAGTCTAGTTCAGTTCTAGTTCAGTTCTAGTTCAGTTCTAGTTCAGTTCTAGTTCAGTTCTAGTTCGTTCTAGTCAGTTCTAGTTCAGTTTAGTTCAGTTCTAGTTCAGTTCTAGTTCAGTTCTAGTTCAGTTCTAGTTCAGTTCTAGTTCAGTTCTAGTTCAGTTCTAGTTCAGTTCTAGTTCAGTTCTAGTTTCAGTTCTAGTTCAGTTCTAGTCAGTTCTAGTTCAGTTCTAGTTCAGTTCTAGTTCAGTTCTAGTTCAGTTCTAGTTCAGTTCTAGTTCAGTTCTAGTTCAGTTCTAGTTCAGTTCTAGTTCAGTTCTAGTTCAGTTCTAGTTCAGTTCTAGTTCAGTTCTAGTTCAGTTCTAGTTCAGTTCTAGTTAGTTCTAGTAGTTCTAGTTCAGTTCTAGTTCAGTTCTAGTTCAGTTCTAGTTCAGTTCTAGTTCAGTTCTAGTCAGTTCTAGTTCAGTTCTAGTTCAGTTCTAGTTCAGTTCTAGTTCAGTTCTAGTTCAGTTCTAGTTCAGTTCTAGTTCAGTTCTAGTTCAGTTCTAGTCAGTTCTAGTTCAGTTCTAGTTCAGTTCTAGTTCAGTTCTAGTTCAGTTCTAGTTCAGTTCTAGTTCAGTTCTAGTTCAGTTCTAGTTCAGTTCTAGTTCAGTTCTAGTTCAGTTCTAGTTCAGTTCTAGTTCAGTTCTAGTCAGTTCGTTCAGTTCTAGTTCAGTCTAGTTCAGTTCTAGTTCAGTTCTAGTTCAGTTCTAGTTCAGTTCTAGTTCAGTTCTAGTTCAGTTCTAGTTCAGTTCTAGTTCAGTTCTAGTTCAGTTCTAGTTCAGTTCTAGTTCAGTTCTAGTTCAGTTCTAGTTCAGTTCTAGTCAGTTCTAGTTCAGTTCTAGTTCAGTTCTAGTTCAGTTTAGTTCAGTTCTAGTTCAGTTCTAGTTCAGTTCTAGTCAGTTCTAGTTCAGTTCTAGTTCAGTTCTAGTTCAGTTCTAGTTTAGTTCTAGTTCAGTTCTAGTTCAGTTCTAGTTCAGTTCTAGTTCAGTTCTAGTTGAGTTCTAGTGAGTTCTAGTTCAGTTGTAGTTCTGTTCTAGTTCAGTTCTAGTTCAGTTGTAGTTCTGTTCTAGTTCAGTTCTAACTCAGTTCTAGTTCTGTTCTAGTTCAGTTCTAGTTCAGTTCTAGTTCAGTTCTAGTTCAGTTCTAGTTCAGTTCTAGTTCAGTTCTAGTTCTAGTTCAGTTCTAGTTCAGTTCTAGTTCAGTTCTAGTTTAGTTCTAGTTCAGTTCTAGTTCAGTTCTAGTTCAGTTCTAGTTCAGTTCTAGTTCAGTTCTAGTTTAGTTCTAGTTCAGTTCTAGTTCAGTTCTAGTTTCAGTTCTAGTTCAGTTCTAGTTCAGTTCTAGTTCAGTTCTAGTTCAGTTCTAGTTCAGTTCTAGTTCAGTTCTAGTTCAGTTCTAGTTCAGTTCTAGTTCAGTTCTAGTTCAGTTCTAGTTCAGTTCTAGTTCAGTTCTAGTTCAGTTCTAGTTCAGTTCTAGTTCAGTTCTAGTTCTAGTTCTAGTTCAGTTCTAGTTCAGTTCTAGTTCAGTTCTAGTTCAGTTCAGGTTCAGTTCTAGTTCAGTTCTAGTTTCAGTTCTAGTTCAGTTCTAGTTCAGTTGTAGTTCTGTTCTAGTTCAGTTCTAGTTTCAGTTGTAGTTCTGTTCTAGTTCAGTTCTAACTCAGTTCTAGTTCTGTTCTAGTTCCGTTCGGTACAATCCCAGTCCTTATATGCTTTTCTCACTTTTGGCAACCTCCCCAGGAATAGTATAACCAAAGAGAGCAACAAAAACAATGGCTAAAATATTTACACAGAAAAAAGGAAAAACGAAAATATAAACAACAACAACAACAGTTGAAAAAGCAACACAAAAAAGAATTGTAGTAGATGTAGTAACGAATTAGTGTAGGAAAAAAGAAAAGGACATAATGAGACAACTACCTACCCCAACTCCTAAGAAAAATAGCGGTAAAATGCAATAATTTTTTCAAATAAAATATTAAATTATTTTTCAACTTTAGAAAACTATATTTAAGTCATAACTTTTGTTAAAGAATTAATATTAGTTATTTGTAGAAAATAGATTTTGTGATTAAGAAAACTTAAATCTTAAATTTTCAAGCAGCTGGTACAATTTTAATTTATTGATTTTAAGCCAAATACAAAATATTCACCATAAACACTTACCTTTATTAGCTTTTTAGTCTTAGCCATAGTGTTTAGCGTAGAAATTTGTTTAAATTTAATTAAGTTTGTTAATATTTTTCTTATTTAATTAAAATAATTTCGCTGGGCGAAAATTCTCTTTAAATTATTTTCCTTAATGTTTTAAAGGCTGTCTTGCATTTGACCAATATTTTACAAAAATATCTTTAGACACAGTTTTGGTTTTATTTCGTTTTTTTTTATTATAACACACTTTCTGCTCCACAATCTGAGAATCAATGAATATTTTTTTATTTTTTTTTGTGGGTATTTTTTTTTTATGGGGGATACTATGATGATTACTTTTGCAAAAGCCTTGTTTGCATTTCAATGCACTTCTTTAGCCCGAAAAAATCCAAAAAAAGGGAAACAAACAAAAAAAACTTCAGTTGAAAATGTATACAAAAGCACCAAAATGTATGCAACGTAAATGTTACTGCGTTACGCACTCATACCACACATTGAAATTTTTATTTTCACTTGCATTGCAGGAGTTGCTGCTGCATTTATGCCACTTGCCTTTGCTACTCTACTAGTACTACTACTTGTACTGCTGCTGCTGCTGCAGCTGCCACCCCAAATGTTTTCTTTTACTACAACACACTTTACTTGAATTCACTTCAGTACAATTCAAACCACACCACACTTGTTTTACTCGTTCTCGTGTATTACTTTTCCACTACCAAAACCAGAAAAAAAACGCCAAACGTCCGAATTGAACACAGAATAAAAACCCACAGGAAAAAAAACGTAAAATAAAAGTTTAACCCACACAACATATATTACCCAAGATGGGTCTTACTCAGCCTTATGGTGGTTTTATTTGGTTTTTTCCCAATGTATTTCCTGTTAAAAAGGCTCAATTTCTGCCTTAATATCCCTACGACGACATTCCCAAAAAACAAATCAGTTGTAAAACAAAAGTGTAGAAAAAAAGGGATAAGCGAAAAAACAAGTAAATGTTTTGTAGTCGTCCACAAAAGCACCGTTATACACCACCTAACGGTGTGTGTCGTAAGTTTGATACTGGCACCGCCAGACAATTTACTCGTCTATCCTCGTCGCCAACAATTTGCAACAAACAATATTTTCTGTGCAATTGAGTGTGTGTGTGTGTGTGTGTCTATGCATCTATGGAGTGTTTTATGGGTTGGTCTTTTGGTTGGTACAATCGTTTTCTACATGTCGTTTTGTTGTCTGGTTCTAGGGATATGAAGACTAGTTTATTTGTTAGGTCCTAGTGAGAGAAAATGAGAGTAATATTCTCTTTTAGTATTACTATTATAATATCTCTCTTGGTCGGTCTCCATATATTTTTAGCTCTTACACTCTTGCTGTAAGTTTTTTGTAGTTATTTTACTTTTGTTTAAGGAAAGAGTAAAAATATTTTGTTAAATGTTATGCTAGAGGGGGATTAGTTGGGGGTACTGAATGTGGGATTCCTTGTTTTAATTGAATTCAAAAAGTAATGGATGATTAGTGCATTTATATAATAGAATTGAATTGTTAAATAAGGGTTATTTCTCAATAAATTATGAATGTTATAAATATGTTTTTATGCCAGGATTAAGAGGTATTAAATGTAATTGTCACTTCTGATGATTAACTATGAAATAAGGATAAATAACAGGCTTAATGAGTTGTTTAGTACTTTAGTAATGTTAGTTTCTAGAATCTATATAAAGTTCAGAGTTGAATAGAAAGTTCAGAGTTGAAAATTCGCCAAAACATACCTCTCCGTACTGTACTAGGTACAAAGGCTAGCATGCATTGCCAATACTAGTTGCATGAGCTTCAATCTTATGTCGGTCTTAGACTTAAAGCATCGTGGATGTAGAAGCAAAGGAGTGTCTAAGATTAAATGATTAATGGACTATAAATCTAGTACGTTGATGGTTTAGAATGGCACTTGTATTGAGGGATTTCTTCAAGATATGGATTGTGAGAGGAAATGATTAGGCTGCAAGTCGTGACCTACAGAGAAGCTGAGTGATCGTAAAGTTATTGAGTCTGATAAGATCAGAATACTGAGAAGTGATGTGATTACAGACATTGTCCTACTGTTTAGAGAGGTACTGGTAGAAAGGGATTTCTTAAAGATCTGGATAGTGTTAGGAAATGATTAGGCTGCAAGTCGTGACCTACAAAGAAGCTGAGTGATCTTAAAGTTGTTGATCATGTTGCAAAATTTAGGCAGATCACATGGAAAAGCAGAAATGTCAGTAAGATCAGAATATGGAAAAGCTGAGTGAGTGATCATTAAGTTCATGATTGTATTGCGAAATGTAGGAAGATCAAATGGAGGATCAGAGGAGTGATCCGAATACTGACAAGAGTTTATTAGACTGTAACTATTTTCCTACAGTACTACACGATCACAGTATACATTGATACAAGGGATCTGAAGATACTGAAACATATGATTACAAAACTTGTTCTACGAAGAAGCAGAATGATCTTCAAGTTGTTGGTTGTCTTGCAAAATTTAGGCAGATCACAAAGGAATCTCTTTAATCCCAATACCGACAAGAGATTATTAGATTGTAAATCTTTTACTACGAGCCGACACGATCAAGGAATACATTGATGGTTTATAGAGACACTTAAAGAGAAAAATATTCAAGATTCGGATTGTGAAAGATGATAAGGTTATAAACCTTGTCCTACGGAGAAGCAGAGTGTTATTCAAGAGCCGAATACTCAAAGATGATTAGATTACAAACCATGACCTACGGAAAAGCAGAGTGATCTTCAATTACCGAATACACATGATTATTTGAACAGAATCATTGCGAGAAAGAAATGCTCAATCACCGTTCATGTTAATGTTTCGGAAGAAAACCGAGTTGTTGCAAAGGATCTGACGCTTTTTTGGAAGAATCGACAGAAAAAGTATCTTAATATTTTCCTTTCTGCGATATCGAACACGATTGACAAATGTGAGATTAAAGACTCGTACATTCAGCATAGCAAAATCCAAAATGCTTCGACAATTTCTTGCTATGAAAAGGAAACTGTCTAAAGGATTTATAAAATCATAAGGATAAAAAAATCAAAATCTTTACTACTACATTGAAAGCAGAAGAATATTCCACTAAATATGTGTGCTTTTAATAACATAATTTAAAAATAACAATTGAAAAATATTAACAACTCATTGAGAAATTATAACCTCAATATAAATTAACAACATCTCATTACTAAACATATTATTATACCAAAACCTAATTACTAACTTGCAAGCGTATTAGAACTCATTAAGTGTTAAATACATAAATTATCAAAAGCCAAATAAGATAAACACATAATATCTCTCTCTCTGTCTGTCTGGCTGTCTATCTAATAACAACAACAATAACACAAAAAATCACTTTCTAATTATATATAAATCCCACTTAGTTAAACAATAATAACAATAATATTAATTATAAATACTACACTTAACAGTTTGTCATGTATCCTTTACAACAACTCTTCTAAGTGACCTCATTATAGCATTTCAACCGAAAATTTAAAATTTAATCAGGTCATTTACCCTAGTAAAAACAAGAATTTAGACCAGTAGTACTACCACAAGATACAATAAATATACACAGAAACTCATACACTCAGACTCAGTCAGTCATGAGTATATGTATGTACAAATAAACAAACACCCTTTTGGTGATGCAGCATGTATAAGTATTACGAAGTGTATAAATATCATGTACTCAGTCTTTCAGTCAGAACTTTCACCGAATTATTTTGCCCATCAACAAGCACACACACACATACACATAATAATTTCCAAGTCAAGCCAAACGCCAAAAGGAAAAGCAGCAGCATACCCAATTGAGGAGCCATTACCAGTCAACAGCCAACAATACCACCTTCGCCACTAAATGCACACAGACAATCACTCAAACACGAACACACACATTATGGGTTACTTAATGTGTGCATATTATAGACCCACAACCAGAGAAACGCATACACTTGGCCAACAATAATAACAACAACTAGAAGTATATGCATATATTTTTGGAGGTCACTAACGCCAGAAATTGGCGGGCTCGCTCATACACCGACACACACTCAATAGTGCATGCGAGCCAACAAACCAACCGTCATACATACTTGCAACAAGAATACGCCAAAATATTAACGACATCAACCTATTTTCTGTGTGTTTTACTACCCAAAAAGAGTTTGAGAAATCGTCGTAGTAGTATCATCAAAGAGGTAAAATGTTGCAACAAGGACATTCAACGCATTCAAAATACTACGACGATTACAGTTAAACGGAGAATTCCTATGCAGAAATTGTGAAGAATGGATAACTAGAAGGCTGAATGGCTGGCAGGTTGCTGCATTTTCCTAACCAGACATACAAATACACAAGCACATACACATTTTCTGTTTCAAAAAAAGAAAGGGTGTTGGTTCTATCCTAACACCCACAATTTACCTCAAAATTGTTTAAGTGTATGTATAACATTTACATTCTCCACATAAACACAAACTGCCTGTATGTATTTATATACTTACTCACATTCAGCTGTAGATGCACACATACATACATACATATGTATATGAGCATGTCTATATATTTACAGTTATACATACACAAAAAGTGAATGCACTTTTGCAACACCTTCTTCTGTATGAGTGTGAGAAGTTTTTGTGGCTATGTATGGGTTTGTTTTTGGAGTTTATGGTATTGCCTTTGCAATTGCAAATGTAAAGAATCTCTCTGGTAAAGGATGCACAATATTTGTATGTATTTATATGCATGCCTACATGTGAGTAGTAGTATCCTCTTCTCATTTTTACTATTCAATGTCAACGTAAGGCTAGATTTTAAGAGCGTAGCTATATTTAGAGTAATGTATTGGAATTGGTGATTTGTTAGCTCAGAACTGCTAATTTTTTGAGGCGAATGAAGCTAATTTCGGATACCCTGTTCTGAAGTGAACTGTATTACACAGAGAAAGTGTTCTGCATCAATCGTAACCAGTAGTTGTAGGATGGGCCAAGTGGTAATGTCAACCGAAAGTTTTGTTTAAGATTAGAGGAGATTGTCGTACATTTCGCAAATTTAAGTTACGCTCTCTATATTGGCCTATCAGAAGCTATTGAATTATGCAACAATTGACACTGGTAGATGCCTCAATTTCGTCATTCACTCAGCTTTGCTTCAAGTATATTTCACGATCCTCTCTTTCTAGCAACTTATTTAGACTCCATGCTAAAACAACTGCTCATCTTGTGATGCCAATAACGAATCCATCCAATTGCGGATACCTTGTTTTTAGAGAGAGAGTTTCTTAGAGAGAGCATTCTGCACGGATACCTTGTTTTTAGAGAGAGAGAGAGTTTCTTAGATAGAAACAAATTGTAGTTAGGCGTGGCAAGGTCTGTGTTA